CTGATACTTTTGCCACTGGGGGGGTCCAAACGGACCTAAACCATCCCAAAGAGAAGGTGAACAGGAAGACCACATCTTGCTGATATCAGGGACAATGCAAGTCTCTGATTGATACAAGAGAAGGACATCAAGCTGGTGACAAAAGACAGCCTAGGCTGATGAAGTGAGGAGCATTTCAATAGTTACAAGAAGAAAAGCATACTAACCAAAACAAAGCAATGAAGATCAGTTCTGCTGCTAACTTCTTCTGCTTAAGGATTTAGTTTAGCATTAAAAAAAAAATTCTTTTGGGCATTTTTTTTTTTCAAAACAGAAAGGATTCCCCAGATGATCAACTTTCTCTTGCTGTTTCCTTCCATACCTTAGCCGTCCCCACTTCATCAGCCTAGGCTGTCTTTTGTCACCAGCTTGAAGTCCTTCTCTTGTATCAATCAGAGACTTGCATTGTCCCTGATATCAGCAAGACGTGGTCTTCCTGTTCACCATCTCTTTGGGACGGTTTAGGTCCGATTGGACCCCCCCAGTGGCAAAAGTATCGGCTGTAGTCTCAGAGCATCGAGATCGCATGACTGTACCATAGAGACATTGGCTCCTTCCATCAAGCTACTTTCTGAGTAGGTCATAGTTTATAGTCGCCAGAATGTTCACTTAAGATCAACGTTAGATTTTCAATATTATACGCTGTCATCTTATATTGTTTTACCGGAGTAACTTACTTTACATAAGCAAGCCATAGCTTCAGATTCATAGAACCCTGAGTTACATGCTTTAATGGCTCTACTGGTATATAACATAAGCAATATACGGTATATAATGTAAGCAAACTTGCAATGTGCCTAATCAATGGAGAACAACTTCCAATCCTCCTTTCTTCTTGTATATAAATACCCGTGAGATAAAGTAATAGTAGGCTGGATTTCTAGCACAGTACAAAGGAATTTTCAAACTTAGGTAGTTATCTCATAAAATCTTATGTAGTTATCAGGAAACTGGATGCAAACAAATACAAAATGGTGGAAGATAATAAAATAAAAGCTTATCAAGTGAATCCTGCAAGTTCTTCTTCTAGTTGTTGTTTTCTTAAATTTTGTTGTTGAAAAAAATACATGACATATATTCAATTTAAATTAATGTTTAATTTTTCCCTTTCTAAACAGATAATTTTATTTCATACCTATTTACTTTTTAAATGTCCAGTTCATTAATAAAGGCACTAGATGAAATTGCATCAAATACCACTTTTCAAGTAATATGAATTCAGCAATTTTTATATTGAGGCAGAATTTGCTTCAGTAGAGATTATTTATGGAAACACTGAGAATTATATAAAACTTTGATGTAAAAAAAACAATGAGATTATGACAACCCATAAAGAATCCTTGCATAGTTAAAGTGATTCATAACCATGAGAAAGAATGATAAATTAGTCTTAAAATTAATTTTTGAGATATTCTAGAATAAAAGGGATGTAATATTTAAACAGCATACACAATAAAGGACAAATATCTTTGTATCAAACATTTTCTGGTTTTTCAATTCATGATAGGATATTTCTCTTCAATGGACATTTTTTAAATAGTTTATAAACTATATATTGTTTTCACAGAATTACAATACCCTTGGATAGCTGTAAAACAGTTATTTTGTGGTAGGGACAAATATTATATACATCACACAATATCAAAATACAAATAACTGAATGTTGTCAGTCATTTTTTAAAAAGTCTTTCAAATATTTGGTTTTTGCCTTTTTGGGTACTTTTCTTCTATAAGACAAATCAACCAAAAGAGATATTGATTCATTGTGACCCCAAGGATTGACCTACTTCATGATTCACTTCCTTCAGTTTAGAGTAGCATTCATTGACAATACTATCTACTTAAGGCACTTGCTAAAATATCCTTTTCATCTCTAAGAGGTGCCCTAGATCCTTATAGTTTAAGAATGCATACATAGTTGACGAAACAAGTGCTACATAAAAATATACATATTCATGTCTTCTGGTGAGTCCATTTGCATGCTCACTGTATCCTTAGGACAGCTTTGTAACAACAAAGGGCTCTATCCTTCAGAAAAATCTTGTTACAGGTCTCTGTTGACTTCATACTGGCATACACATGCAGCTCTCTGACTGTCAAGATATGGCTTGCATCCGAGATGTATGACTGTATCAAACACTAGTTGTACTGTAGATTCACAAGCTGCAAGACAGGGAAATATCTTTAATAGTACAATAAAGAAAAGCTGTCATTACCTGCTTGAGGAGAAAAGATATAGTACAATTATAGCTTTGGGCAATGGGTGATTCAAATCACAATTACCGTACTTTTCAGAGTATAAGACACACTTTTTCCTCCCCTTATAGAGGGTGGTAAATGACGGTGCGTCTTATACACTGAATACAGCCATTTCTGGCCTGTTGAAACCCCGCTCCGTGCATCCCATTTTTCGCAAAAACGGAAATAAGATATATATCTTATTATTTTATTAGTATGACTTTGGGAATTATTTTGGAGCAGCTAAATAAGGTACAATGTCTCCTATATTACTTTAAAGTAAAAAAAAAGCAATATCATCTCCTATTACTGCTTTCTTGGTAGATTTCATCCAGATAGCTAAGATAGGAGAAATTAATAATTCAAAGAGTATAGATATGCAATTTGAAAAGCGATGCAAATAGCTAATTTCCCGGATTTCCTCCTGAAACAGTTCTATATTAATCAACAAAACTATTAAATATTAATCACAATAATAATGCATATTTGTAAGCACAACTGTAAGTATAATTTAATTACGCTAATATCAATACACTATAATCACAAATGTTTATGAAGCTACACAATGATTTTTTTAACTATCAAAACTTGGACATTTTATTCTCTCCTTAATATTTAGTCTTAAATCCCCATCCTCTTCCTCGCAAAACATGTTTTAAATCCACATTTCAAGGAAGTAAAGAAAAAAATTACAGAAGCAATTAGCTTAGCCTACAAGTAATTTAATTTAAACCTGAAAATTAAGTGGATGCTTGGTTTAATCTGAAGAGTTTTAATTAAAATTTAATGGGTGACTCTGATACATTCTTTATTCAAACATGGTTTCCTTTAAACAACTGGACAAAAGTATGTACCTATCCAATTGAACATGTAGAAGAACCAAATGGTAGATAATGCAATCACATTAACCA